CCTGGTGGAGCTCTCCCCAGTACCCGGCGTTGCTGCAGGAGAGGTAGGAAGAAAAAAGATTAGATATGGGACGCTGGACCCAGTTTCCAGCTCAATGGCGTCACTTTCAATGATGGACTATGTGGTAAAGATGTATTCATGGGACGCTGGGCCCGGTTCCCAGCAGGTGATGCTCCCCACCAATAGATGGAGCGGCCCGCCAGGCAAAGCCTCAATCCCGGTGGTTCTCTTACCACCACCAGGATAGAGGCCTTGTAAAAGGGCCTTAAAAAAAAAAAAAAAAAAAAAAAGGCCTGCCAGCATTGATCACCCTGTATCCCAGGGGATTGACTGAGCAGGTATATCTGTTGTGCCTAGTTGTGATCTTTATCCTTCGTATCTTCACCCCCCGGAGGAGGGCGCCAGATGAAACATTAAGCACTGATACAACATTCTAAGGCTGCTCTCTCCAGCCCTTCTTGATGCCATGATTAGCGGAACCCTTCCCCAGGGGGCACCGGGGAGGGTTCCTCTACCCAAACCTCATATTATCAAAATTCAGGTACAAACAGTACACGCTAGTACGTTACTCTTCCCATTACGGCTGGAGCCTGGAAGAGCCCTGTCCAGTGTCCACCAGCTATGGGAGGCCTGCCTTATTCTTAACTAACTAACAATAAACATTCACATCATTGCATCAATGTAAAAAGGAGTTCAAGGATCTTGGAAGGTGCATGGAGTACCCCAAGTGCTTGGAAGGTGTGCCTTACTACGTTCGGCAGCGCGAAGCATTCAAGTTGTATTCGAGTCTATGTGCATTAACATAGATAAAAGAAACGGAACAAATAAGATTTAATGAATATACCCCCAAGGGGTCAAATCACATGATAAACAGGACTTGGCCATCATGATGTCACAAGATGCAAGTTAGCACTGCAGGACTGCTGCTCCCATAGAATGACTGCCAGTCTGCCACTCCCGTTGAAGGGGTCCTTCCTTAGGGAAGTTGGGGGTGTCTACACTCTGTCTAGTAGTCCATTGTCTGGCTTGCCCGAATGGAAAGTGTGGGTGTGGAGCAAGAAGGGTCTCAAGAGATGAATAGGGGTAGACAGATGGGTGGCTGGCTAGCCTGTGTGGTTGATAAGAGACAAGGAAGCCTTGGGTACAGTAGGGTTCCTCCGCCGTCCCCCTTTCCCACCCGTCCTCACCCACCCCCACTCCCAAATAACAGCCATTTCGTTAAAATGGACATTTTGTATTTTTTGAACGAAATTGAAACCAACTTATTTGCCCCAAAAAATGTCAAAATTTTCAGCTCCTGAGGGTCTGGCCGACTCTGGCGTTTTAAGAACGCTGGACCCTCAGGAGGAGGTAAAAAGCTTTGACATTTTTTGGGCCAAATAGGTCGGTTTCAATTTCGTTCGAAAGATATAAAATGTCCATTTTAAACCACCAGTACATGGCCCCAGGCAACTGGAGAACCTGTTTTGAGCCTCTCCTAGAATTTAGGAGGCCGAGCTCCGTAGATAAAATGAATCGGCGGCGGGCGGCCTCCGAAAGGGGCCTGCGGCCGATAGCTGGCATGTACTGGTGCTTTAACGACATGGCTGTTAAATGTCATCCATTCTCCCCATCCATTCATCACATCAGTCGGTCCTTTTCCTCCATCCCTCCATAGAACAACACTGTTTGGCAATCTTTTGGCCTGGTTCAGCTGTCTCGGCCATGAATACTGGACGGACTTTAGGGAAGCTAGACTACTTATACTACTTCTCTCTATGCCATCGGTCCCTCTTCTCACGACACTTGAAGACCCCTGAAGATTCCGGTATAGGCGGCCGGATGAAACGCAACGTAGGGTCGCTGCGCCATGTCGGTCCAGTACTTCAATTATAATATTTTTTCGACTGGTGTACGACGAAGTTAATGATTATTCTTTCAGCCGTTGGTCGCGTTCGGGAATATGGTGTACTCTTCCCTTCTTCTTTCTTTCCTTTGCCCATTCTCTCTTACTTCTCCTGTCTCCTTCGCTCGATGTCAATGAGTGTTTACTGCTCTTGTTATTTGCATGTTGGGTGACTTGATCAAAACCCCATCTGCCAAAGACTAAACGAAGTTTCTAAAGCACCAATACCACTTTAACAACCATCCTGCTCACCAGGCGGGACCTTCATGTTTCAGTTGGTGTATTCATTGGACGATTGGTCCAACGGCCACAGATCACCTCTTGGTACTTGCTGTGTGAAGGGGTTGGTTTGGTCCTATAAGCCCAGTGAGTGGTTCCCATGTTGTTGCTATAAAAAATAGTCCTCCCGCTCCTGCTTTCGGTTAATTAACCGGTCTATAGGAAGAACCAGCTCACAGACCATATGAGCATCCGTAGAACCTTCTATATTTTCCCCGATTTATATGTGTCATCCGTGTGCAGGGGCCATGCTAATTTTCTGTGTCGTTAACAATTTAAACAGATGGCTGTGCCGAAGGGGAAGACCTGCTGCACTTTTTGTCCGCTTCATTCGCCATGGAAAGAAGTTCAAAGAACCCAATACACCGTGACCAGTAAACAGTGGGCAGAAAGGGAGAAAAAAAAGGACAAGAAATAGGGAGCTAGGGAGGGAAAAAAGGACAAGAAATAGGGAGCTATTACAGACTGTTTTGTCTGACATACACTGACCATTAACCGTTGCTGGAGAGGTAGACAAGGGTAAGGAACTAGGGGGGTTGATATGCTGGATATGGGGTCCAACAACTTGCACTTCTGTTTATCTACCAGTTATAATCCCATGTCCCTCGATACAGATCCACTATCGTCTTCACTCGACTAGACTGGAAGTTGCACCAGATGCAGCTATATTAATGACTGGGCTTTCCTATTTCCTATTCGGGTGAAGACAGTAGCCACAGCTCGGGCTCTGCGCCTGGCAGTCCTAGTTTTGAACACTGCATTGCAAGGGGCCGTTATGCGAGAGATCACCAGTTCGATTCCAAGCAGCAGTGTTATAAACAGATACAAGGTCAGTAGACTCAGTCTGATGAATTACCACTGGCAGTGCAGTAACCGGGCTGCAGGTTGTACGTGGGTTTGTTGACCGCGTCCAAGGGGGGGGGGAGGGGTGCTGTGTGCCAACGACGGAGCGCAGAAATTATGTGCCTACTGCCTACTATCCTTTAACGTCATGGGTTTGAGCGAGTGAGTGGGGTGCTGGTACTGTGAAGATGTGGTCAAATGTCACAAACGGGCATGCATGCTTTGGCAGCTTTGACTTGAAATGGCTTCTGAACATCACGTCACAGTTGCAGTGGTGAAGAGCCGACTCAGCCGAAGACGTCCAACTGTCATGTCAGTGAGCTGTGATATCTGGGGAAGTTCGTCAGTGAGTCTGAGGCCTTGATACTATGGCTGAGTGACTGAGTCTGTTCCTCTGAGTTTTCCTTTGCGTTGTTTGGGTTTTCTGCAAATGCGTTTCCATGTCTCAGATGTCAGTTATCTTCAAATGTTTTTGTGCTTGTACGTGATCCCAAGGCACTAACTTTGGGTTGTGCAATCCCGCTCCAGTTTACTCTGGCCAGAACCAGCCCACTCCAGTTTACTCTGGCCAGAACTACGGTAGCCCACTCCAGTTTACTCCGGCCAGAACTAGCCCGCTCCAGTTTACTCTGGCCAGAACTACGGTAGCCCACTCCAGTTTACTCTGGCCAGAACTAGCCCACTCCAGTTTACTCTGGCCAGACCTATCCCACTCCAGTTTACTCTGGCCAGAACTACCGGGGGGCCAGACTTCAGTTGACCATCTGCACATTTCAGGTGCAGCCTTGTGCAGGTCATGCACTTGCCCATCTGGACAGACATCCACATGCATTTCCACGGTTTCCACCAGCTTGGCGGCTAGTACGGCTACTGTCTTCACCGGAATCGAAACCCCCGTCATCAGCGCTGTATCTGGACAAAGTGGTGGCCCAAATACAGATATAAATTATATATTGACGGGGCTTTCTGTTCGGGTAAAGACGGTAGTCTTGAAAGTCGTAAGCCTGAGCAAGTGTGTGCCAGTCTTCAAAGTTGGAAGCTTGAGGGTGGTGTTCCAATGTTCCTTGTGACTGCATATAGCAGCAATTTCAGTAAACATTCAGGCCTCTCTCCTGTGGGTGTTAGGTGGAGTTGTATTCAGTTAGAGATGGTACTTCAATTGGTCGTCAGGTGCTTAGTGTGTGTGGAATCGTCAGAGTGAATGAAGGAGTACCTGACCCTAGTTTGAACTCACATACATTCAGTAACAGCCATGTACACTGAGTGTAAGACTATGCACTAATAAGGTCTTGGCAGCCTTTTCTTTACAGACCAAGTTCTCAGCAAGGGACTCATGAATGCAATACTATGCAGTAATAAGGTGCAGGCAATCTTTTCTCTATAGACCTTTTCTCTATAGATTAAGTTCTCAGCAAGGGACTCGTGAGTGCAATACCTTTTCTCTATAGACTAAGTTCTCAGCAAGGGACTCATTAGTGTAATACTATGCACTGTGTGCAGGTGATCTCAGCAAGGGACTCATGAGTGCAATACCTTTTCTCTATAGACCAAGTTCTCAGCAAGGGACTCATTAGTGTAATACTATGCAGTAATAAGGTGCAGGCAACCTATAGACCTTTTCTCTATAGTATAGACTAAGTTCTCAGCAAGGGACTCATGTCTATAGACCTTTTCTCTATAGTATAGACTAAGTTCTCAGCAAGGGACTCATGAGTGCAATACTATGCAGTGTGCAGTATAGACTAAGTTCTCAGCAAGGGAC